CAGGCAGGGGGGCCATCCCTGCTGCCCCACACTGCCCCGTGCTGCATGAGGGGCTCTTCCATGAGCTCCCCAGCCCCTGCCCACTTTCCCAGCCCCACCCAGCCCAGCTCCTGGCTCTTAAAAAAAAAAAAAAAGCCCCAGGCTCACTGGCTCTTGCCAGGTGGGGGGTTGATCCCTGCTGCACCCCACTGCCCCACGCTGTGTGGAGGACTCTGCCACAGCCCCCAGAAACCTCAATGGCTGCTGAAGCAGCTGGTGAGTGGGGGCTTTTTTTTTAAATAGAACTGGGAGCTGGGGCCGGGCAGGGCAGCCATGGGGGCCCTGGGAGAGTGGGCAGGGGATGGGGGCTCATGACAGATCCCCCCATGCAGTGTGGGGCTGTGGGGATTGGCTTCCCCCACTTGGCAGCAGCCAGTGCATGGGGGCTTTAAAAATATATATATATTTTTAAGTTCCGGAAGCTGGGCAGGGCAGCCATTGGGAGGGGGGTGGGGAGGGGGAGCTGGGAGAGTGGGCAGGGGCCAGGGGTTACTCAGGGGAGCTGGGGAAGCTTGCAGGGGATGGGGCCTGGCAGGGGGCCCCCCATGGTCCCCTTTCTTCTCCTCCAGCCTCCTCTCCCCCGCCCCCTACTTACCAGCATGGAGTCCAGGTACAAGCCCCTGCGGCAGCAAGCGGGGACTGCCCAAATCTCCAAAGCTCTCTGAATCTTTTACAAATCTATTCAGAGAGCTTCAAATCAATTCGGACCTTTTTACTCGTCTCCTGATTTGATTCAGATTTGGAGATTCAGCTGCTGAATTAGGCCGAACCTCCTCCATATCAAATCAGCACCTGAAGCTTTGCACAACCCTAATGAATAAGCACCTACAGTGCAAAGTCCTGCACTTAGGAAGGAATAACTACATGTGTATATACAGAATGGCAAATGACTTGTTAGACTACAGTACTGTAGAGAAGGACCTGGAGTGTTACAGTGGACCATAAACTGAATATGAGCCAACAGCATACTGGGTTTTATTAACACAAATGCTGCCTATAAATCAAAGGAAGTGTTTTCTACTCCATTCAGCATTGGTGAGGTCTCACCTGGAGTACTATGGAATACTATGTCCAGATTTTGCTCCTATACTTCAAGAAATATATGGACAGATTGGCAAGAGTTCAGCAGAAAGTGACAAAAATTATTAGAAGCCTGGGAAGCATGATTTATAAGGAAAAACAAAGCGCTAGGGTTATTTTGTCTGGAGAACAGAAGACCAAATGGGGGTGAGGAGAATAACAGTTTTCAAATACCTGAAGGATGATTATAGAAAGGATGGAGATAGACTGTTCTTTGTGGCCATAGGGGACAGGGACTAGAAGCAATGGCCTCAAACTGCAGCAGAGGAACTTTAGGCTGGATATTAGGAGAAACTTTCTGACTATGAAGGTGGTTAAGCATTGGAACAGGCTGTCTAGAGATGTCATAGAATCCCCATCCCTGGGCATTTGGCTGGTGTGGTTTATTCAGGGACAATCCTGCCTTGAACAAGGAGCTGAACTAGATGATATGACAAGGTATCTTCCAGCCCCACTCTCCTATGATATATACCACCCATGTGTCAGGGCATAAAGTATAGTTAGTTTACCTTCCACAGACATATAGTTCATACCTTGTCCTGACCATTATTATCTGTGTAGCGTAATAGCATCCAAGAGATCCAGAAGAATTGGGGCCTCATTTTGCTAGATTTTGTACAGAGATGTAGTAAAGACAGTCCCTTCCTCAAGTAGTTTGTAAAATTAGTAAATAACAGAAAAAAAGAGATAGATAACATGAATAGGTTATCCAAGGCACATTTTATGTTAGTAATATCCTCTTTCTCTTTGGATATTTCCCCTATACTTCTTGCTGTGTGGATACATCAGTCAACAAGTCCTACTATTGCTTACCCACATTTTCCCCTTTCCCATCTCATTCCATTCCTCAAAGTCAATTCAGGCTCAGGGTTACTTGAATCTTGATGCCTGTGTTAGAAAGGTACTAAGACTAAACCTCATGGCTTCTATTGCCCCTCCATACTCTTTCTTAGCTGCAGCTGTTTTCCCTCAACCACTAGTGGAAGAGAGCAGGTAGCAGTCTGTAAAATTGCTGTAATAGCTGTCAAAATAAAAGGAGTGCAATTATTTAAAAGAGCAGTAAGTAAATATCTTGGATAATTCTGCAATACACACACACACACACACACGCGCACACATGCACGCACGCACGCGTACCCATACCGCGCCCCCCTGCCCCCTGGTTTAACAGAGTTAGGAACAAGAAGGGATAAAATGCTAAATGTGTTGTGTCAAGATATAAATTATATCATTTTTAATTGACATGGCATCATTTAACATATCCCTTAATCATGTGTAATAGCAGAGATGCAGAATTCGACCAAATCATTTCATACTTGAGTGCTTACATAAAAGTAAATGCCATATGTCTTACAGGAATGCAGCCATTTTGCCTGCAGAAGTCATAGACAATCAGCCTTTTAAAATTATTTCCATTTAAAACTATTC